TATATATATATATATATATATATATATATATATATAGAAACAACAGATGAATAAATAATTGTTCTTGTCTTGAACCATTCCTTCAAATACGTAATTACAATAAGCTACAAATAAACATCTCACTTCTTACTAACTATAGCAAAAAATATTTTATATTGTATCATAATATACTCGATTATTTGTTTATAGTTAAGCACAAAGCTACACAAAGGCCTATCTGTGCTCTGCCCACCATGAGTATCGAAACCCGGATTCTAGCGTTGTAAGTTCGCAGACATACCGCTGTGCCACTGGGGGGCATTATAATATATATCTTTGAAGTTAGTATCTATGCGGATTTGCACAACTAGGCTATATTGGAGTAATGTATAACGCAGCTTTCCACACATACAATTTAAAAATGTATATTTTGCCTTACTCCTTAAATCATCAGCGTATACACTTTACATCGTAGACAATTTATTTGTGCTTCATCAGCAGAATAAAAAAAAAGGCACCGGAAGAAGAGCGAACAAATCTCTTCTAGCGTTGTAAGTCCGCATACATACCGCTGTGCCACTGGGGGACCACTGTTATAATGTACCCACAAGCTGAGAAAATTTCTTATAACATAAAGCCTCCTCCAGTGGCTCAACGGTGTGTCTTAGGGATTATAAGCCCCAAAATATGGTTAGATACCCTCGGTGGGCAGAGCACAAATAGTCCCCCGCTGGGTCAGCAGTACGTCTCCGACCTTATAACGCTAAAAAATCCGGGATTGGATTCCTTCAATGGACAGAGCGCAGATAGCCCATTGTGTAGTTTTGCACTATAAAAAACCCAACAAAGCAAACAAACTTATAATAAAAAATTAAGTTTGATATTGTAAAATGTATTGTTGTATAAAGTAGTAGAAAGTCTCCGTTTTTTAATAAACTAGATTTCCTTTTATTAGATTAGTAAATGTTATTAAAAGTTAAAGATAGTATCCGATGCTCAGCAGGAGAGTCTCGTTACATCTTCATGATCTAACTTAGGTCACAGTGAGTACTGGCTAGATATTGTTCTAACGTCGTTCTTTCATTAAGTGGTTTCTCTTAAATGATTTGGTTAAAATAATTCGAAGTCTAGTCCAAGTAATGAAGACAAATTACTTTAATTCTTTCTTAACCTACAGGCTACTATCACTTGTTCTACAAAGTTGTAAGTTGTAGGCCTAAGTTTACAAATGACGTTTTGAAGGAAATACCTCGCCAGCGTTACCAACATACAAAAGAAAATCGGTCAAGAAATTGAATATACTCAATAACTAACACAGATCTAAATACTTTACTGAAAACCCACCAACTCTTTTTCAACTACTCGGCATTCACACGCTGAATACTACAATTCCACATTTTTCTACCACTTCACTCTACTAACTGATGTCTCACTTGTAAATACTGTATTTTCTGACGTCATCTAGAATATTCTAGCATTTTAGGCATACTTTAACGTCATGCACACTCTAACTAACATATAATTGAAACATTAAAGATACAACTTACACAAATATGATGCAAATTAGTGAGCAAAATTTCAACCTCAGACAATTGTATTATTTTAGAGAATAGTCACCTTTGTTGGTTTTTTAACGTGTTTTGTCTGAACTTCGAAATCTTATTTATTGTGCTATTTTAATTGAATTTATGACTTTTGCTCCGATCTTAGATTGGAAAAAAAGATACGAAAAATACATTTAAAAGTTTTTGATACGACTTTTGGTCATGGAGCTATCTCCCTTCATACATGGGACCTCTGAAATGTGATATCCATGACCAGAAGGTAATAGATAGAGAAAGAATTGTAGTTCAGAGTATATTTGAACGAGAAGAAGTAATTTGTTGGTTTAAGTTCAAAACATGCAAACTTATCTTAATGTAAGGAAAAAATGAAAATTATATGTTTATTACTAAAATATTTGGAAGGGGAGCTTTATTAGCTACTGGTGCCCTGTAATAAACTGTCTGATGAAAAATAAATAAAACAATGTGATTAGACCTCGACAGTAGGAAATTTATCAGCCGTCTTATGTGCGCTACGAAGAAATGAGACATCTGATCGAACTTCATGGTCATTGGAAATGGTTTATCAGTGTTACGTGGCTGTGCTTTCAAGCAAATAACTGCCTCTTAACTACTACATTTTCCAACAGCTCTATGATATGATTAGATAGAGCAT